AATTCAAATTGGATGTTTTTCTGTATTCAGTAGCCTACTTTGCTTTTTTTGTGTTATATGAGTACAGCAGTAAGATAGATAGATAGATAGATAGATAGATAGATAGATAGATAGATAGATAGATAGATAGATAGATAGATAGATAGATAGATAGATAGATAGATAGATAGATAGATAGATAGATAGATAGATATTAGAAAAAAAGAAAGCTGATTAAGTAACACATGCTGTTACATGTGAAACAGCCTTGCTTGCCATCCTGTGTTGTTCTATCCAGCGGATCTTTTAACCATTAATCATTTATTACCTGACTACCTCAGCCTTCCTAGAGGAACCTCCCCTGCCAGGTGAAATCCAGAACAAACATCCCCTCATTGAATGCGGTGGAGTCAGTGCTGCCGTGGTATGCAGTGGTTTCTGGGACTGTTCACCTCTGCAGGGCCCACTAAGACACTGGGAGCGTGTCTCTCATACAGGTGTGTTTTCAGTACCGGGAGCTGTCCGTGGTTTTGAATTGCAAAGAGAACCACTGGAGCTATTCCCATCTCACTGGAGCAAGCGCTTACTAAAGAATGAGGACTTTGTCAGCGGATGTTTTTGAGCAGGACACTGAAGGTGCTCACTTGTTCGTTTTTTAACTCCTTCACTTAAATTCTCATTTTTTTCTTTCTTTCTTTCCTTCTTTTGAGAAGCTCTTCCACCTCTCGCCATGCTTCCTGCTCAGGAGGCAGCCAAAATCTACCACACCAACTATGTGCGTAACGCCCGAGCCATGGGGGTGCTCTGGATCGTTTTCACCATCACCTTCGCCGTCATCACCGTGGTGGTGTTCATCCAGCCCTATTGGATCGGCGACAGCGTCAACACACCGCAGGCCGGATACTTCGGCCTCTTCCACTACTGCATCGGGAACGCGCTCACCTCGGAGCTCACCTGCAAAGGGAGCGCGCTGGACTTTGGCTCCATCCCGTCCGGCGCCTTCAAGACGGCCATGTTCTTCGTGGGGATCTCCATGCTGCTGGTGGTGGGCAGCATCGTCTGCCTCAGCCTCTTCTTCTTCTGCAACGCGGGGAGCGTCTACAAGATCTGTGCCTGGATGCAGCTGGCTTCCAGTGAGCTTCAGGCTGTGACTAAAAAAGTTTCAAGAGTTTTTAAGTGTGTTTAAATTACAGGGTAGATGTCACAGTAAGAGTTTACATTATTGGAAAGTAACACCATCATCATGGTGTTACCAGCATCACCATGTAGGCTCCAATTAAGAGAAACATCATTTTAAAACTGAAAATAGCCTATGTATACAGTACATTTAGTCTACTCCACTATATTAGTATTTTGCAGATAAAGACTGGCACTAATCGAGCAATATTAAGAGGCTTAACAGTTTTATATGATGTATTGATCATACAGATGTAGAATGCAGTTAGTTAGAATAGATGAATTGGAGAAGACTTCCACTACCCGTAGAGCTTGCATGTAGATATTATTTTCATAATTTTGCTATTGTACGGTTATATCTTGTTTATGTATTTTAAAAATGTATTTATTCATGCAAGTCTTCATGTAAGTATTTAAAAAAGCCAAGGAAAGTAATGAATCCAGCTAATAAACAGTCAAAGTGGAAACTAAATGAATACCCATTAAACTAAGATTTAGGAACAGATCTGTAAGAAGGTTGTGAAGGATAATGGTGGCTCACAGCTGTAAACTCAGAGTCTGAAACATGTACGAAAGCCCAAAGCTGAAACGAAAAGCTATGAATTTAAGCATTTGGTGACATTTCTGTAGTTCCCTGCGGACTCGCAGACACAGACAGAGCTGAAACATGATTCTGTTTGAAACATGAAGCAGTTTGTGAGCAGATGTACCTGCGAGTGAAAGGAGAGGCCTGTAATGAACCAAGTAATGAGATTAACCCGAAGGTGTGCTGTTACACTTTCTCCTCTCCCCCTTTCGCACGTGTTCTTGTAAATCCATCTTCATGAGAAGCAATGTCATTTTGGCTCTGACACCAAGTTCATTTTTAAGGATATTTGGATGCAGGCTTTGAGAGGGCTGTTTGAAAATTGCTGTTTTGAGGGCCTTCTTTGGAGTGAGTGGATGCAGAACTTATCGGGTCTGTTACGAGGATGGGATCATTAATTCGCTGAACCAGAGGCCCCTGAGGTGTGAGCTTAATAAAGTCAGTTTAAGGAAAGAATTTTGCTGTATTAGTTTAACTGAAAGGGTCTTTCTAATGTATTCAAATATTTAGTGAATTTTAAAGAGGACTTGATAAAGTGAGTCTCAGAAATGCATGAAGATGAGGTTTTGTGAGGATCAGAAAGTGAGAGCGAGATGCGAGGCAAGTGTGTGCTGTGCTGCACCTCCTTGTGCTGAGGTGGGACGGCAAGAGGTCTTAGCTGTCTGTCAGTGGAGTCAATAATAGATGAACAAGTTCATCTTTATTGAGTTGAGATGCTCTGGAGTTGCTAGGCAACTAAACTCTGTAGGTGTGTGTGTGTATCTACCTGAATGAACACAGTGTATATCTAATTTCTCTGGTGGTTTCGCTGTCATTTGTTGCCCGAGCCTGTCAAAAGCAGCAAGATGGTCTGTCACAGTGAGCACATCTATTCATTTTTACAGGTTTCCCACCACAAATCAATGCATGTTTTTGGACTTTGAATAAAAAAATTTCAAAACACTAGTAAGATAAAAGTAAAACCATCACACAGACAGAGCTGAAGTCCAGCACTCGTCAGCCTGTGCCTTCTCTCCTCTCAGGTACGTGCATGGTGATCGGCTGCATGATCTATCCTGACGGCTGGGACTCTGATGAGGTGAAGCGCATGTGCGGCCAGCGGACTGACAAGTACACACTGGGCAACTGCACAGTGCGCTGGGCCTACATCCTGGCCATCATCAGCATCATGGACTCCCTCATCCTCTCCTTTTTGGCCTTCAGCCTGGGCAATAGACAGGACAAGCTGCTGCCCGAAGACTTCCAGGTGGAGGAAAAAGGTGAGGGGTGGGGAAGGATAGTGAGGGAATGCTTTTCCTTAAATCTTAGCTGTGTGTATGGTGAGAACAATACTATATGAGGATGTATTTGTATCCTTCTTCAGTTATTATTGGCTTATATTTACACCAGCCATGTCTCTTCTTGACTACAGATAACGCATAGAGCCCAGTGGACACTGGCATGAATGGATGAGATTTTATGAAGAGTGCCACTGACTTCAGAGGATATCCCGAGGCTTCGAGTCACTTTGAAGAAATAAGAGTCCATCTCTGCCTCAAAATGAGCTCATCAGAGTCACTGTCCATCCTCATCTCCAAGGCTACAGCTTCAGATTGCCGTCAGTAAAAGCCACTTATTACATCAGATTTAGCTCTCACTTTTATTTGCTGCTTTACATTTTTTAAGCATTTTGATTTTTTAAAATAAATGTTAATTGCTGAAATGTTATTATCATTTTGAGTTTTGAGCCTGACAGTATTAGCCACTGTTGCCTTCTCTCTATGTGAGAAATCTAATGGCGCTAACAATAAAATGATACCCAAGCTGATAACGTTTGGTTTTGTGCATCTGTAATTTATTTTTAGCATTCATGCTCTCTTAAGAGACATATTTCCATATGCATATACAGTAGATATTTGACTTAAGGGATGATTTCACATCTGTAAATACTGTTAAGTTTAGGAAGATGTTGCCTAAGTGTCTTCATTTGACTCCACCCATTACGTGTGATACTCTCACATGGGTTCCAATCCCTGCACATACCCTGCACTACGCTGCTGCCAGCTCAAAGACCATTTTGTGCTACTTCTGTTGGACATTTGTGTTTTCACATGCATCTGTGTTCAGTGATGGAGAGAATATTTAAGTGGAAAAAAACTGTGGAAAGCAATGATATAAACAACCCAGAGAAACTTTGAAAATTATTTATTCTTACTGCCTAAAGAAAAAAAAATCAAATGATGAGACATGGACAGTCGAGCCTTTATAGAAAAACAAGCAACATGTTTCTGATAGGACTGAAAGGAATATTACAATAACTTTAAGTACAATCTATGATTTTCACATCCAGCACCTTCTTATACACCTGAATACACACCTTTAAAGATAAAAAAAAAGAAAGAACGTGTAAAAGAACTGACTGTGCCCTCACTCTGTTCCAGCTTCAAGCTCAAAAAAAGGAGAAATCAAAGTCCGACTCTTTGGTACACTGTACTGTACACTTGATGTGAATCCACCTATCGCTGGATTTGACTGTGAATGTGGGAATTAAACTTATCAGGTAAAAAAAAGCAACCCGGGTGTAAAAGAGCATTTGGCCAACTCATGCATGAAAAAGAGAAGGGCTCTGATTTTTTTTTCTTCACATTATAATGTCTCAAGTACTTCTCTTAAGTCAACATAAACTAATGCTGAAGCTAAAAATCGTTACTTACACAAGAAACCGACACAACAGTTTGGCTATCAGTGTGATTCTGAACTCCCGATGTATGACCTGCACCTGTATACAAATGTAAAAAGTTCTCTGATAACGGTACTTTGAAAGCTACTAGCTGCTCTTCATTCCAGTAAGCAATATGTAGTTATCACTTTTGAGCTCTCTGCACTCTCTTTAAAGGCTTAAAAGCTGGTACACCTAACATGATGACGAGCAAACAGACAAATTTGACTTCTAAGTGACCTATATGATAATCGAAAGTGGCTCTGATGGTGACTGTTACAACTCTGTTAGCATCCTGTACCTTTCTGCGTTTGTAGAAAAATGTCCTTTTAAACCTGATGATCTCTTGTGTCTAAAATACAGAGAATAATGAGCAGAAGAGAAAAATCTGGAGCTGGCAAAAAAAGGGAAAATAAGATCAATAAGTTCTATTCAGCCAGTAACAAAAAGTCATAAATACTGAGAGAGTACTTTGAGCCTGTTTTATTCTCCTTCCCTAACAGAACAGAGATTCAGCAGCAGTCTGTCTATCGTCTCAATGCTTCCCGATGAATGTAAGTAGACCCGTGAGAGCCGTGACAACAGGCTACAGGCACGATGGAATCACAGGCTCTCACAGAAATGGAAGTATTTGTTTACTGTACGTTTTCAAGCTTAAGCCCTTCAAACCCATCTTATCCTTTTCACAATATGCAGCTGTGTGTGCAGGCATCCTCTAGGATGAGAGCCATGGGTGGGAGAGACACTGGGCTGCGGTGGCTCTTCTTTCAGGCACCAGGTCCAGCATGGGAAGCAGGAAGCTGCTGAAAGAGTGGGCCTCCTCTTTGGACCACTCATACTTTTCTACCAGGACATCAAACAGACCCCAAGGCTTCAACTTGGTGATGTGCCGGAGATCACCTGGGAGGAAAACACATTTAAAATTCAATCTGCTGCTTCATCGACACAAACAATCACTTTTCGCAGTCGTCAATCACAACAATACACCTCCACATTTTAGCCAACAACTAGACAAACACGTCCCTGTTTACATGAGCAAAGTGAAGCAGGTGAACAGGTTCAGTTACCTGGAAACCACTCACACACACAACCACAGCATAAAGACAGCTCACAAAGTATACTACTTAACAAACTTCAACAAGGATACATTCCCGTCTAAAGCTCTTGTTTGCACAGAAGAGCAACAGACAACATCTTGTCTGAAGGAATCGCAACCCAGTATAAATTATGCACACCCACCAGCAGAAGGCTCTGCAGGCGGGTGATTAAAACCACCCAGAACATCACCAGCACCAATCGACAGAGCATCACTGATCCTGATGTCATGAAGTGTCTGCAGAGCCCATAGCAATGCAGAAATATCCACTGCGACTTTGCTGCAGTTTCTTCCTTCAGGCTGTGAGACTACTGAACTGATCCTCCTCGCGTCACCACAAAAATCATGTTCCATTTATTAACATAAAGACTAAAATACATTTTTTTAATATTTGATTTCTAATGTAACGGGCTACATCTTAAAGTTTATTATACAAGCATGTGTTGAATAATGACATTTAAATGAATCTTGAATCTATTCACCACCCATGTAACTGAACATGACTATGTGGGATCACATGTCACAGAGCATGTAGGAACCATCTGAAGTGAATTCATAGGCTTCAAATCTATTTATCTCCATTTCATATTCATAACTATAATTATCCTGGTATTGTACTCTTAGTGATTCTATAACAAGCCTGAGTATCTCTTGAGTAAACACGCAGTGGGATCTCTTACTGCTGCTCATGCTGCACTTTCTCTGTAGACTTTGTGGGGATAAATCCACCGCACCACCTCTATAAACTTGAAATAGCTGCACTGATTATAATTTGCTAGTTCAAACCGAGCAGATGGCTGTTCCCTTGAGCCATCAGGTGTTGGGCCTAAAATAGAAATTCTGCAGAGTATATTAAGGTTGAACTGGATGTAGCTGCTGCAGGGGTGGTAGCAGGCGGCCATGTTTACCTTTCTTGGTGAAAAACTCCTTTGAGTATTTGCCTGCCAAGATCAGCTTCCGAGGGACTTTGCCTAGCAGCTCGATGACCAGCGCTATGTGATCTACAGTGAGGCGGCAAAACACAAAAGCAGATGGACTTCACTATTGTTTCTTCAGTATAAGACATAAGTCACAATATGTCGAAACGAGGTGTAGGAGGAAGCTCGTCTTTGCTGGAACTGCTCTCTAGTTAAACTTAGATATATGGATGTTTGGACCACACCAACCTTCATCTCTGGAGTAGTCTTCTCCAGAGTGGGGTTCAAACAGGTAATCTCCAGTAGCCAGCTCAAAGGCCTGAGGAAAGAAGTACATAAGAACTCGAATACAAAAAAAAAGAGAGATCATACTCTCCCACTGGCTCCCTTCTAAACCCAAACTACAATTTAAAATCCTTCTCCTAAAATACAAAATCCTGAATGACAAAGCTCCATCATAAACCTAATAATGAGACAATATTGCCATACAGCACTTTGATCTCTGAGGAGAGGATTTCTTTCAGTTCCTAGTTTTCAGAAGTAGAATGGGAAGCAGTGTCTTCAGCTATCAGCCCTCTCAGTTTGGATTCAGGAGATAAGATGCCTCTTTCTTGCAAGGTTAAGTCTAATTTTTTCTTTTTGATAAAGTTTATAATTAGGGCTGAATTAGGGAATCTTAGACCATCTTTTTAGATCTGCTGCTTCAGGTTAAGGTTGCTTGGAGACTTCTCACAATGACCTAAGATCTTCTCCACTCTCCATTAATTTATATCAAAACCTGTTGCCTGCTCTCTTGGACAGTTTGTGTTTTGTCCGGTTTGTTGTCCATGGTGTCTCTATATTCCTCTTTTCCATGTTCTCTTTTCCTTCAACCAGGGGTTTTGACACATATGTTCCTCGTCACACTGAAAGCTTCTGCATAACATAAGTTATGTTAAGTTTGCTTTTCAGTGGGGGTTTGTGGGATCAGTTCATTTGCATACAGGTGTACTGTGTGTGAGTCTGTTTTACCATGCAGGCTGTGCTCCAGATGTCTGCTGGTGTGCTATAGCCGGCTCCTATCAACACCTCAAGAGAGCGGTACTGCCGTGTCTGGATGTCATCTGTGAAATGTTTGTGCTATAAAAACAGAAAAGTGAAGACTGGGTCACAAAATGAAAAACATGAACTTGGAAGATTTACAGTAAAAAGACACAGTGAATGTTTCAAGTTCTGCTTAAACGTTTTTTACAGAAAAAGTTTTATTGAATATTATACTCACCACCCAGCAGGCATTGCCGAGGTCAGCAATCTTAACCTGCAATTTGTCAGCATTGAGAGGGTCCAGGGGGTTTACTAACATGCTTCCTGTTGCTCCTGTTAAAGAGAGGAGAAGAAAGTGAAGCTGGTGTGTCTGCAGAGCAATTCTTTGCAGGATATTGTCAAGATAATTAATTATTGGAGGGCATTAGCAATGCGCACTACAGAAAAACAAAAACAAACCTTACAACCCATATTCATTGCGCCACACTGGTAAAAGTGATTTGGTGTACTCCAAATCATTCTCCCAGTCTTCTTATGGGTTACCATCCTTAATACTGCAGTGTGGTAGTAGCCATGCAAAATATTGTACCAATTTCACGAGCAATGCATTGATCAAGAGGCTTTGCATATCCAAGAGTATTACCGCCTTATAAACATGAGGTATGTCTCTGCCAACCAGTTAAGTTGTACTCTGTCCAGACGTCTCCTTTTAGAAAAGATGTCGCCACTTTATTTGAACCCATCATTAAAGTCAGAAATCGTGTTTAAAGATGTGATAATGATGTCTGACCACCAGTTCATCAGTTCATCATTAAGTGAACTTTCACCCTAATTTGAAGAATATTCTAAATGGACGTATACATATCTGACAACTAAAAGACATGATTCCTCTGGTCTCAGCTGCTGTAAACACTGTATTTTAGATATCAGTTTCTTAATTAATACACATTAATACCCCCCCCCCAAACTAACCATCCTGGCTGTTCTCTTCCTCATTTTCTCTTTTGGTCTCCTTTAGAGTGTCCATCTGCTCCTCTATCTTGTCTCCCTCTTTTAGCTCTACAGTGACAGAGTCTGGACTGAGTGAAGCAGGGGGACGTTGCTGCTCGGTATCAGAGTTTCCGTTACAGGATGGCCGCTCTTCTTTGTCACAAAATGCATTGTCGGTCTCTTTATTGCTTTCTGGTTGCTTTGCATCCTGTTGATCCTCCTGTTCCTCTGTACATTGCTCGGTCCCTCGAACCTCTAGACTGGTCTCATTCTCCGGTGTGGCGGCGTGGCCGTTGCAGTTGACCTCCATTCTGTTCTCGTCATCGGCCGTAACCTCCCTCTGTTCATTTAGCCCTGACGTATGAGCAGACTGCTCTTCGGGAGTCAAGTCTGGAGCAAAAAGAGAATAATTTATTTTGTAAAGAAAAATATATCTTGTGCGATCAAACATGAATTCAATCTGCAAATAAAACTAAAACTTATCGGCTGCCCTTCATGACCCTGACCAGGGTCTATCCTCTCATTTACCTGCGTTAGTATGGTTAGTGATGTCCTGCTGCGTGGCAGACGTAGAAAGAGTGGCTGAGGACGTATCTTCAGTGTTCTCCGTAGTCTCCTCGTCATCCTCCTCTTCTCGGGTGTCGGGTAATGCTCCTCCCTCCATCTCATGTATCCTCTTTTCCTGCATCTCGGCCTGCTTTTTTTGCTTCTTCTTCATCTTCTTCTTTTTGTTCTTTGACATTTTGGCTGTCTGGGAGAGGGAGAAAAAGGATAGTTTGCATTTTGAATTCATTCAAATGTAAATTTGTACAAAGTCCTGCACAAGATCTGCTTAACACAAAAAGATAACTTACTGGTTTGGAAGTTGGGGCTGTACTCACTGCAGGAAAGAGGAAAAAAAAAAGAGATTTATGTTGCTGAATGACATGTGGCACATCCTCAGTCCCTCTATTATTAGTATTCTGTTCGAGTGGCTGAGCTGATTCATACCAGTGCTGTACTAATAGACTGTCTGCAGTGGCACCCTGCTCAGTGAGAGTCACACTCCTCTAAGCAAGCTGGTAATTTCCATAACCAATCCAGCGGTGACTCATAGCAGCACACAGCTAAGCTCTCCACTTTTATTAAAAACATCCACAAACACTCTAGTCTCTGAATACGTACATGGCATACACTGGATTATATCATAGGGTTGGAAAAACATTTTATTCTGAACTTCTTGTTTGTGCTTCTTCACACAATCTTAAAATAAACTACTTGCAGTGACAGTTCTCTAATGGCATTATTTGGAAGATTATGGCTCACCGCCACATAAATACATCTGAAACACCTCAAGTCACAGCACCTGGTGACAAACCTAAACAGCAAATCTCCTAGTTGTACGCAGCAAGTCAATCAAACCACAAAGATCTGAATGAGAAAGGTTGCGACCTGCAGAACCCGAGGGAGGTGCGGTGCCAGTCTTCTGCCACTGAGTAGCTTCAGCAGCCATCTTCTTGATGTAGGGCTCATTCACAGTGAGCAGAATGTTCTCCGGTTTGATGTCTGTGTGTATGATCTTACACTTGGTGTGGAGATAGTCTAAACCCTGCAGAACCTGTAGTTCAGAAAAGTCAGATTCAGGGTTAAAGGTGAACGTCTCCCATAATATCAATTAAAGTGCATCATTCATGATGGCAGATAGTTTTGATATAACCATCTTCTTCACTGAAAGACAAACACTTTTCTCCCACTAGAACCTGTCTGTGTTTTGCTGTTCAGTACCTGTCGTATGATGCTTTTAACACAGGGCGAAGGCAGCCCTTGATAATTCGACTTAATAATCCACTTAAGCAGGTGGTACCCAAGTACTTCAAAGACCATACACACATCTGGAGAAATGGAAGTCAAGGACTGAAGTAGTGTTTGCAAATTAGAGTTTTTCTATATCAACTAGTGCACACGAACACACACACACACACACACAATCCCATGTTTTCTTCACATCACAAACACAATCTCCATCTACTGCTTCACTACTAATTTAAAGGATGTCTAGACAGGATACAGCACAGAGCTCTAAGACAGATGGAGATAGCATGAGCTTCACTATATCAAACACTGTCACACTGAAAAGACAAAGTTCAAATGAATGTCTGAACAACAAATGTAAATATGGAGTGTAATTAAACTGCGATATCCTGACTTTCCAATGACTGTCAGTCTAAATGCATCTTGTCAGCATGTCTGCACTGAAGCACAACAACACAGATGAGCTAAATTCACATCCAGCCTGAGGTGGTGTGGTCTTACCCTTGGACGTTCATCACTACTGTAGTTAATTGGCCTGGAAATGAATGTAATCATTATGCCCATGCCATCAAACTGAGACAACAACAGCAGGAGGGACAAGGGCAGTTAGCAATTAAGCTGCTGTCAAGCCACTAATGCCTTCCTTAACAGAATGATCAGGCATCAGCTGATAGAGTCAGAAAACTGGTTAGTTTGCACCACTTAAAGGATAATGTTTCATTTGTGACAGAGTAAAAATATAGGATACGAGTTCCATTCATGCCAGAAATTTTGAAGTCATCTAGCAGCTGCACTACTTTCTCTCTGTAAGGGTCACTGGGATCTGTGTTTCTCACCTGGAGAAATAAAAAAAGAGATACAATCGGTGATGTGAGCTGTGGGATATCTACATTATGAGTCTGTGTGAAGTAAAGTGCTGTGCCTTACTGATTTCAGCAGCTTGATTTCATCCAGAGCAGTCTCAGTGTAATGTTCAGCACTTTTTACAACCTTCATGGCCACGAAGCGCTTTTCCCTGGAAATTACATGGACAAAATCAGTGAGTAAAACACATTATACAGTTCAGTGTATGCTGCATTTGCTTAAAAAGACTGGGGCTGTGCTAGAATTCTATCACCATCTTATACCTATTCTGTCTACTAGTAAAATTACTCTTACACATTTTGTACATCATCATTCATATAATGATGTATGACACTAACGCGTTTTTTTAAACAATAATAATAAGTTTTTAAAAAGAAAATAAACAATTAAACTAAAATAAAATAAAATAAAATGTCATGCCCCCATCTAAAACACAGATTTCTAAAATTCTCTCTTTGATGTTTAAAATATTGTAAAAACAGGTCTCCAACTCCTGATGAATAAATCTTTCTGAAGCCTTAAGAGATCTCCCAGACCATATCCAACAACATATGATATGTAGGAGCATCATGTTTCAACCTAATCATAATGCATTTATTACTGCTGTCAATAGTAATTGTAACAGATATTTACCAGCTGACCTCTCAGACCCTGCGGTATCAACCGGATCAATGCAACCTTTGACTCTCTTGCAAGATTTTGGTGAAATAGCTTCTTGGACAGAAGCAGGGTAAGTGCAAATGAGTCCCAATTCGTGTACCATGTTTTTCCAATATATATTCGGTAGGGGTGCAACGATACACAAAATTCACGGTTCGGTTCGGTTCGATACTTTGGTGTCACGGTTCGATATTTTTTCGATACAAAAAAATGTTCATGCATTTTTAATTTGTCATTTATTAAAATTATAAATATATATTTTAACTCAAAAGTACAGTTTTTAAATTTAACCCTAACCCTTGTGCGTGTTTTTTATTTTGACAGCGAATGCGCACCTGCGGACCACTTATGTGCAGCCCTGGTTATTTAGCTCGTCATATTGCAGCCACAGAAATTCTTTTGTCCATGAAACCATAAAGCTGCACTTTCTTTTTGCCTTATAGTCTGATTTGTCATAACTTCTCCGTTTTGTGGTAAGCTTTTCTTTGGCTGTCACTTCTTCACCCTGACCTGTCTTATTTGGCTCAGCAGAACTGAAATGCTTTTACACGCTCACTCACATAAGCTCAGCGATTCTCTGCGCGATCAACCTCTCACATGTTTAAGCTTGCTGCGTCATGTTTGCATAGTAAGCTAACGATTAATAAGACGATGTCAGAGGAATTGGTGCACAAATTATCATCACTCACAGATCAGTGCTGTCGCTCTCTATACACAGTTCGCACGATTGCAAAGTGAAAGCAAAAAAACAAGCGCAAATTCAAATGCGACTTCAATATGTCACATATTGACAGTGGCTCACCGATGCCAATGACATAATTACCCAGCTACATTTCTGAAAGAATGCAAAAGCATTGACATATATTTTTCCTACAATAGCCCGACGGGCAGGGAAGAGATAGATTTTGGTAGCCCGACTGAAAAAATCGCTAGCTCCGGGACGTCGGGCTAGCGATATTGCGAGCCCTGTATCTGATTGAGGAATCACTCATCTTTGGAAAAAGAGAGTTTATTACAGAGAAATGTCTCTTTCCAAAATAAAAGCTATACTATCCGCTTCTTCTGGGCTATATTCTCAGCAGCATAAGGAGAATCATGTGCTAACAGCTGTCTAAATGACTCGGCTAAAGTTAGTAGCATGCTTGTTGTTTTTGTCTTTGCACTAGGATGATGTCGGTGTAAATGTGCAGTCATATTCGTTGTGTTCCCACTAGTGCTTTCAGGTTAATCTCGTTGAAATGACCTTAACGCCACAACACGTAAATCTCCGTTAACGAGCTACCGCCGATCACTCCGTGCATGGGGCTAGACGGCCAACACGTTAACGAGCTAACTGCGCTAACACACTAGTTCACACCAATGTAATTGAGCAGTGCGTGGCACATCCAACATACTGTTTTACTTTAGTCCATGACTCGCTTACCTTCAGGGTCATACATCACATGAAAACCAAAATAATTCCAAACGCCAGATCTGAATGACGTTCAATTTGCCTGTTGCAAGGAGAGCTTAACTTCTGTCTCGCTAGCTTGCCCTGCGCTCTTCCTTCTGACTATGCTGTCTGTGTTGAGCGCTCAGTGGATCTGCGCTCGACAGTGCAGCCTAGGCGGAGTAGTCGAACACAGATTCACTGAGCGCTCAACACAGACAGCATCGTCAGAAGGAAAATTGATAAAATAAATTACAAATGTTGTATTGTTCGATACATATGCGTACCGAACCGAAAGCACTGTATCGAACGGTTCAATATCGATACGAATATCGTTGCACCCCTAATATTCGGGTAACCTGGGCAGATTTTTGCCATCATTTCTGGAATTCTGAACGAATCGAAATACAACCTTCAATCTGAAGTGCTATAGTGCATATTTCCTTCCATTTATCTGGTAATATTTCTGTCTGAAATTCAGCATCTCAACTTACATAAGTCTGATCAAATGTTAGCCACACTGGTGTCTGAATTACAGAAACGCGCATTGATCTCTAAAAGTAAAATCTCTTTAATAAATAAATCAGGTTGTCAGGTGATTAATTCTAAACACAGAAAAATTAATAATATTTTGTGAAAGCAAACTTACTGGATATCCCAGGCCAGCCACACAGTGGAGAAGTGACCCCAGCCAAGCTTACGGATCACATGGTATCTCCCATTGAACAGATCTCCAATCCTCACATGGTGATATCCACCTGACCAAAGGCACATGCATTGTCAAACAATGTATACAGAATATCCTGCAGGAGGATTTCGCTTAAAGGTTTTACTGTTCATGCAATTAGCCTGAAATGGGTGAAACTAAACTAAAGTGGGGTGGTGTTTTCTGTTTGTTTCTATGCAAATATGCAAAGAGCTTTTTTTTTTTTTTTTTTTTTTGGGGGGGGGGGGGGGGGGGGATTCAAAGACCAGCAAGTTGGCTCATTTCTTCTTGGTCAGTTAATGTCAGTGACGTGAGGACACAAAACTGGTGGGTACAGACACGCATAACAGAAGCAAGTCCTAATTGCGGGTGTTGAAGGTTGAATGAAGACTGAGAGCATCCAGATATGATATGACTGGGATGGTTAGATGAAACTTTATTAATCCCTCGGGTGGGTTCCTCCGGGAAATTCAGTTTCCAGTAGCAAAGCACCGAAAGAAGTTGCATGTTACAGATACATTAAGGGGGATGAGAGTAGGGATATAAGCATAAATACACCATATATACACATATATAGATACAGAATATACAATATGGATGAATAGGATTGCTCATTTGAGTGAGTATATTGCACAGTGATTATTGCACAGTCAAATATAAGAAAGAGACAAAAAACAAAAAACAAATATTGCAAATATTGCACCATGTAGAAAAGCCCCTACAACTCAGTTGTTCCCGCCCTCCCTTGTCCCCCTGTTTCTCCTCCCTGAGGTGAAGTGTTGATAATATATTATCATCATCATCATCAGTAAAAAGGTTTACAGAGTTTAAAACATGTAACATTTTAAGTGTTACAGAAAGCCTGGGTGGCATGTTCACCAGCTTTACATCTATACTGGACAACACTGGAACTTTGTTTTGGCTCCAGTATAGTGGTGGCTTTGAAGCATGAGAAGACGACAGCCTGTCTGAGAGAGGTGTTGAAGATATTTCTGAGGATGTGTTAGCTGAGACCCAGTTTTTTCTTGGGACACTTTAGTTTGCCTGCTTGTTGAGTTCCTTCATGCATTTAAAAAAAAAAAAGAAAAGAAAAGAAAGAAAAAAATGACACCCCTCACACACAAACACACATTTCATTGTAAAGAGTAAGAGAGATCGTACCCCTGCAGTAGTCGTTGGGGTCCTCCTGTTCATCGTCATCAGAGCCCAAGATCTCTTCATCCTGCTCTGGTAACGGAGACTCTGCCTGACCTGGCTGAGAGCCGCCTCCACGGCCATGAGGCTCTGGTCTGGGTGAAGAAGAGAACCAGAGAGACAGGGGTGGTAAAACAGACAGGAAAGTGTGAAATTCAGGAACATAAATGACAGGAAGAAAGGGAAGTGTGAAAGAAAAAACATTGACGGCTGAAAAGCTGGTGAAAGATGATGTCAGACTGGCTCACAAAGATGGATGTCAAAGAGTTTACAGCACGGTTTTATCCAAAATAAACTCATGAACAATATCAAGGATCAGGATAAATTCTCAATCCACTAAAAAGTACAAGTGTAATGTTTCTGTGATGACAGCCATTATGGAAAGGGTCTGAGCTTCAATGTATTAATATTGATGTATATATGTAAGCCAGGATACTTTTGACCCTGTCTGGATCAGAGAAGATTCAAAACAAATTCAGACTTGTGCACCCAATTCTTGTTTTTTAAAATCATTAAAGATGTATGCTGTACAATCATTCCAATCAATTAAAGGAAATCATTAAAATTAGCATGAAATTCATATCCAAGGTGAGTGGATGTAAACCTCTGAGAACAACTATACATCGGTAGTAATCATCTGACTCTACTTGGTTACTTGTTATCAACTGAATAACAAGTAACCACAGTTAGCGTGTATTTTGAGAAAGAATAAGTTAAAGTGAAATGATGTCACGTTAAGCTCCTTAATTTCCAGTAGCCGGCAACACAATGCTGCAGTGGTTAGCAGATCGTGGTCCTGGGTTTGTATCCGCCGACTATTCTGTGTGGCAAGTGAATGTTCTCCCCGTGCCTGTGCAGGTTCTACTTTGGGAACTCCCTCTATGTGTCATGGTGCATCCCGGAATAAGTTGGAAGTTAAAATTCGAGTTCCCAGTTGGAATTAAAAAAAATTGTTTTTCCTTGCTTTTCCTGGTACACGCCAAATCCAACATCCAAGTTCCGAGGTATCTGGAACGCAGCATTAAGGTGCAGGCATACCCTTTGCATTGGTCACTTCATGGGCTGCCGCAAAGATGATCATGCAATCACTTCTATTTATGCTCGGTATTAAGGTGGAGACAGCCACTGCAGTATTCACCTGAATAATAGGTGTCCCCACTCAGACAATATAGCAACATCAGCGCTGACATATGAAGAGAAAAACTCAAAACCACAAGCTAGCACATTGCCGAATGCTTTTCCACAAAGTCTCATCTTTTCAAACTATTGCAACATCCGCCCCAATAAAATCTGTAAACTTCTGAACTTCTGCTCTGAAATATCAATAAAATGGTGGAAAAAAACTGACGGTAAGAAGGCCTTAGGCTTCTAAAAGACTGGCGACCTCTCCAGGCTGTACCCCACCTTCTAGCCTATGATAGCCGGGGTAGTCTCCAGCACCCTCTTAACACTGAACTGGATAAACAGAAGAAATAGATGGTTGGAAAAGGAAATGGATATTCAAAATCATCATTAAATCTACAAGTTACAAAGAAAATACTTTATTTATTTATAGGATTGTGTATTTTTAAAAGTAACATGGGGCACTTTTTTCTAAAGTGGTGACTTTATACATACGTTTACATGCCAAAACCATTTCTCCCTGCCCTAGGAGGTCTGACAAGCGCATCACAGATATTTACTCACTCCTGAGAGTTCGAGGAATTTGGGTCAAAGTGACTTCATTTAAATATTAGGTTATACACATTTTAAACAAAAAACAAAAAACAAAAAACAATAACGCAAAGTGAAAATGTTTTTAAAAAATCTAAATGCAGTAGTATTTTGTTTTTGAGCAGTTTTTTCATCACACTGTAGGTGTACAGAGACGTCGGTCAGGACAAGAACAATGCAGTACAAAATTGGATCAGAGAAGCCAAGTGGCCTGGTTAGCAGAGCTGCTGCCAAGCGGGGCATTTTCAACTTATAAATTCTTTCTTATTTTACCTCCTGAGAGTCCAAAGCCTTTTTAACAATTAGAAAAAATTACATTAAAAGAGCAAAACATGTATTTTTCCACAAAAACATATTCCCCCCCCCCCAAAAAAAACATGCTTTAAATTATTCCCGTGCTTTACTTTATTATATTACTGTTATTTTCAGTTATTTAATATATTTATTATTATTATTATTTGGCTCCATTTTAATATCTAATCTTCCACAGGCTTCCCTTAATTCAGTTTGTCATCCTTCTCCTTTCAAGTAATATTAGACATAATTTACTCAACTCCACTGTAGCACATTTCTGGAGTAGCATTTGAAAAAAATAATAACAGCATGAAAGCAAGTGCCAGCATCAATGAGAGAAACTGATGTAAGCTCTTAAGCTCCAGAATCTATTTTGTTTTTTAGCTACACACAGGATGTAAAGCAGAAAAAGAGAAGAGGTGCGTGACTTGTGTTTCCTGAAAAACACCACACAGAGACTGAAGCATCTTACTTTGCATGGCAACTGGATTCTCGCAAGATTTACAAGATCATGAACTTTCTAAGCTTTGAGCTACGTGTGTGTATTTATACCAAAGTGTGCAACAAGAAACTGCAGGCCAATAAGGTAACAACCATTATGGGTCTTCATAATGTCACCATTTCTAATGCGATTTTATCTTTATTTAAATATGAATTATAATAATAATCTACTTCAATACTTTTGACGTAATTACCTACAATTTGAATCCATAGTGTCAGGTTGTAGAGCATCACCAAAAACAATGTAGTGATGTACTGCACTAATATATAATATCACCAAAGAGAAATACCATGTAGTTAAATATATGATTTAGGCTCACGATGGTTAACTGAGCAAGATGTGCAGTGGTTATCTAAAAATGACTAACTGCATATTAAAAATGAAGTCTACAGGTGCTCATACTGGAAAATTCAAAGTGAAAGAGACACAGTGTTTATTTTGTCAAACAAACATGTTTGAAGTCAAACATGTTAAACAAAGGCCCCTGAAGAATGATTTAACAGCATGTCACAGTTTCTTTAAGCTTCAGCTGCTGAAAACAAAAACAATTCTCTTGCTTTTCCAAGAGCGGCACAATGTTTGACTACTGACTATGTAAATGGTTATATAAAGTCAAGCCTCAACAAAATCTAAAATCAGAATAAATTAAATAATCAGCTAAATCTAAGTAACCATTCCTCCAGAAATAAGAGCATCAATAAAACCAAAGTGCTTATAATGGGCTACCCTATTTCCCCCCGGTGACGGTACACTGTGGAGGTAAGTAAGATAAAAGCTCACTGCTTCCAGCAAGAAATGTTTTCTGTATGCAGTGCAGGCAGATGCTTTTCCTCACAGCTGACAGATTCTTTCTTTATAATACTTCCAGCCTTGAATAGATGTTCCAATCTCACATATAAAATCTCTTATGATCTCAGGTCTAAGCAGATTCATTTATCCAGCTAATGTACAATGTTGGAGCTAAAGCATAACAGCATGTTGTTCACATAGATTTGCAGCTAATTAAAGGAAGTGACAGGGTAATAAGCAGCTGACATTACTGTGCACCCTCTGAAAAAGAAAATGTGTGGAGATGCTAAATTTGCTTCGGTCGGTACTTTATCGTGTTCCAGTTGCGATCAATTTTAAAGTAATTAGGATTAGTGTGCATAGCTAATCAGTTCATTGGCTTAGGTCAGAGCAGGATGACCACTGTGGATGCATCTTAACAAAATGTGCCCGCAAAGCTGTGTCACGTTTAGTTGTTTGTTCAACTCAGCTGTTTATTACTGCTCCTTAGGGGAGGAAGGCAATTATAATGTTGAGCTTAAGTCAGAACTGCAGAGATTAACTAATTAACCAAAGTCCTTTTCTACAGTGACAAAAAGTAGCTTGGAGTTCAAGTAGGTGAAATTAAAATAGGCTTTCTGCTTGGAACCTGACCACTTCTGCCTTTATGATGCAGGTGTATAAGAGAGGAGAAGATACAAATGCAGCCAGTGAAACATGTACCCAGTGCACTTTCTATTTGCATATCTGCCAACACAGTACAACAGATCTGTGATATTTTAAATATCACAATAACACTACAGGCCTGCTGATATCAGTCTAGATGCTGTGTGTGGGAGGTATCCTCAAAGGAAAAAAGAATAAGACAAAAAGGTTTTGTATCATTACTCGTTCTGCGTCTGCATTACACATTCACCCGCCTGCGGTGAGAATTCCTCCTGAAAAGGTGTCACTGAAATGGGCATACGCGCATTTTTTCCTGCCCTCTGATTGGACTGTATGCACCCCTGAAAATTTTTGGGTCCCCTTAGATTTGATTGCAGTATTCAAGTGAATAAACACCAAAACCGCACTACTTTTAGAGCTGACAACTCCTACAAGGTGAATTTCTATTATGACTAACAGAAGCGTTCCTGCCTCCAGACTTTGTGCACATTACTGCAAGAAATATGAACACAAACAGTCTGATGAAGGCAAAACAAAACTAAATTTGCTTGCTTACTCAGAGCAAACAGAGCACAGTCATTGAGCGAAACCATTCAAAAGGCCTAACTCCTTTCATTCCTAATATACAAATGATGAAAAGCAAAACAGATTTGTATCAAAAATAGGTGAGGGTGGTCTCTGCCTATGCAGCTACTCATGGAAAAACCTGGATATTATTCTAATAGTCCTGAAACAACATCTTTATATTTGGACATGTCAAAGCTAGTGAATAAGGGTACAGGGGATGTCAATAAATGTCATCTTTATGGAGGAAAGTGCTAAAGTGACAACGACAATGAACAAAAACAGAAAAAGAAAAGAAAGAACCGATTCCAAGTTTCTAAGCTTCTTTTGTAATGTTTAAACACAATGAAGGGATTTTTATATGTAGATCCATGACATGTCAATAAAGAGAACTACATCAACATATTTATGCTGACAGTTTTTAAATCAGCCACAAAGTTTTTTTGGACATTGAATCCAAAGACAACTAAAAATAGCTGACAGCATTAGGACAGAAAGGGGGAAAGAAATGTGGAGGTTAGAAACCAATGCCTGCATGTAAACCAGGAGAAGAAAAAAAAATGTAGCACGACCTCCAACCGATCAAGAGCATTCACACATTTGAAGCCAAAACACAGCAGGCAATCATGCTTTTCCAGATCACGTATCTAAGTTTGTTTGGTCCCCCCCCCTTTAACTGCGGTACGACGACACTTGGACCGAGACAGTTCAATGACCTCAGATCACACGACAAAAACCTGGATACATCAAGGACTTCTGCAGCACTGGAAACACCTGGACGTGAGTCATATCTCGTCTGGAGCTGTCAACAAACGCATACACACTCATCCTACTCTTACCTGCAAGATGCACGGATACCCATGGGATGATGCAGGGAGGAGGCCCAGAGAAGAGAGGGTGTAGGTGTTGAAAAAGCCTCTTACTCCATCCAACAGGAGGAAAAGAAAGAGGTATTAGAGGTTCAGAAAAGGGATGGAGAGAGTTAAAAAAAAAGTACAAGTGGAGGAGAAGGAGGAGAAAGCGATCAGTGCTGACAACTGAAAAGCAGTGATTATAACAGAAGAGAGCAGAGAAGAGGAGAGAGGATGGATCAGAGCAGTGATGGGGAATACGAGCGAAGAGAGGAGAAATGTAGAGGCTCAACTGCAGGCTGAGCACTGAGGCTGAGTCCTGGAGCGCAGGGTACCACTGCACACTCCCCGACTCTCTCGCTCACTTTTTTCTCTCACACATTCACGTCTCTCTTTCTCTCCGTCTGACCGAGAACTCTCCTTGGCTGTCGTCAGCCTCTGGCCCAGCCCTCTTTCGCCGACAGCTGGGACATGATTGGATGATACAGCCCAGCACTGCATTGCAGGTGAGGGACGACATCAACCCCCCACACACACACATACACAAACCAATCTGACCAAAACAACACTGTTCTCTATTCCCCCTCTCTGTCTGTCGATCACCATCGCGCTTGCCTGTTATTCAACAATGCTTCACTTACTCATATTTGCACGGAAACATCAATGCTGCAGTTTATTGTGCAATCATCAGACCTTACTCATAGAAAGGCAGACTTTCAAACTGTTGGACGATTCATGTAATGGGGAAGGAATCAGCTAGGTATCCGCAACTTGAAATGCTACTGCACTTCACAAGTTTCTGGAGCTGTATTGGAATAGCTTTGCATGACTTGGGGCCATTTTTTTGTGATTGGCCATTTAACATTTTCCAACAGCGCACAATGAGATTGCTGAACCTTCTTCTCCCTCCACACATATACTTGCTCACAGTGAAAATGAATACCAACAAGCAACCTGAGGGACATGAATGATTTAGCAACTTCTTTCCAACTTCTAACATACACATAGGGATAAATGATCAACATGTTGTACAACGTGTAACACGTACTGAAGTTACTAAAGAAAACCTTTTAAAATAAAGATAACGTACACTGTATGGGCTCTGGGATACCTCAGAACCCAACAGTATTTAACAGGTCTCCAGTGCATTGCAATCGTAGTTACAAACTATGAGTCAACGAAACAATTCAGTAATGTTGCTTTACAGCCAATTATCTAAATTAGCAAGATAAAATTATACAAAAGTACAAAATAAAAGTTATCTCTACAAAAGCAGACAGTTGTGAGTACCATGTTTGTGTTGTTGAAGATATCTGAGACAGTAAATTAGATACAACTACAGAATAATACAAAATCTGGACAATGCAGCAAATCCACCTTCGTTCTATATATGAGAGTTACTTGGTTTGTACTCGTCCCCAGAACACACATGAAAATCTAGTAGAAGTAAAAGCATATGTGTCAATAGAGAAATGTGTGATAACTGAATCTCATTTCTCTGCTGCAGTTTCAGATTTGTTATCGTGTGCACACACTTGAATGCAACCTGGTCAATTACAATGAGAAGCTGTGAAAAAAAGAGCTCTATAAACTTTGCGCAGTCACTTTGAAGTTCAAAACAGTTTTCTGTGTTTCAGTGACTGCTGCCAGTTTTTATTATACATTGAAAAATAATCAGATAGTGTTTTTATCCAACAACAACAACAACCAATTCAGGAACCCACTGACTGCCATCTAATAACTTAACCCTCTAGGCCACAATGGTTAATCCTTTTGGTGGGGTAAGCAATTGTCAGGATAGCTGATATCTAAAAAATAAATAAATAATAAAAAGCTAAACTGTGGTCATGAAATAACTGATTATCTTGAGATCACGCTGCAGCCAGTGCATTCCCTGTGTTGTTCTCCCTGCAGACCTTTTGTGTTCATGCCAAAGCCTGCTTAAATATATTAGGTCTAAACTACTTGGTCTAGAAAGCCTCTGGAACCAAAACTCTTATCTACACTCCTGTTTTTAGGGATTAAAGCAAACATAACCACATGCCAAAATTTGAACAGCCACAGCTTCAACAAAACTGGTCACCCTGAGCTGACTGTTTAACTCTTTTGTACACAAAGACCCAATAAATAGTCTGTAAATGTGTTATTCCGTTATTGTCCGTCAGAGAGACAAAATCTATAAAAAACTGCAATCACTTTACATGCCCGTCACTTCTGAGCACACATCTGATCTGACAGAATGTGTTAGCATCTCCTGCTTTCTCCTAGCCAAACTTTTTCCACCCATCCAGCCCTATCAGATCGTTAGAGCAAAACAAACAAGGGCACACAGAAGCAGTGGAGCTTGTGAGGATGGAGTATGGCCAAGAAGTTTAGCTTCCCTACTTGCTCCTTCGAAATGAAATCAATGCAAAATGCCTCGGCAGCAAAATGAAACAGCAGCAATAGGTATCTGTGCCGAAGGCCTCAGGGTGCAGTGCAGACAAAGTCTAAATGTGTGTGGTGCAGCATTTTGCCTTAAGCACTCGAACACCTACTGAAGGCATACGAGTGAAGCAAAGGATGCTTGTTAACGTCTTCAAATCTTCCTCACAGAAATGATTTACATCTACCTGCTGTGTAAGCACCAACTTTATATAATATGTTCTTTCCGATATTCAGAGCTATGTGGGTTAACTTTACAGAAATTTGTCTTAATAGAGACAGTGTTTTATGTTACACGCAGAGTTTTTTTGTACAAACCAGGTTTCCAAGCAGCCTGAGAAAGACACAGAGGGAGGGAGAGGCCAGCACACCACTACTTAAACCACTGCAGATTTCCATGGTTCACAAAAACAAATCCCTCCATAAAAACAGCTGAAACCCCGACATTTTTGAGGCCTGATGTGACCCGCCTCCCCATGACACCCAACACACACACACACACACACACACACACACACACACACACACACACACACACACACACACACACACACACACACCCCAAAAAATACTCGTGTTTATGTGTATTTATTCTGCTTCTGACAAGACGGAAGAAAGAACAGTGGTTAACCTACAGCATGAGGACAAAAAGAAAGCAAGAGAGAGAGAAACAGAGCAACACAGAGCTGTAGTCAGCTGCAGATGATGAAAGATTTGATGTGTTATGTAATGAACTGCAGCAATGGCTGGAAGAGAAAAGAGAGCAATGAAAGCAAAATATAACAGAGCGCAATGGTGCTGGAAAATATAATAATGGCTATTCGTGTTCAGTCGCCTGAGAGGACCGCAGTCCTAAAATTAAAATCTGAGGCACAGAAATTTGCAGGGAAAAAAAAATGTTTCCTGTCTAACGTGATGCAAACAAACAAGAAAACAAGTCTGCAACTGAAACAAGAAATAAAATTTTAAGGGAAGCAGAAATAAGGTCCTGTGTGACAAGCATAAATCTTCCAATCCTGTTCTCAGTCACTTGTAAAAGGACTAAGTGAAACACATGAACAGGCAGTGAGGTGCTTAGTAAGGCAAAAGCCTGAACGTGCTCCCTAATTTAAAACAAAAATAAAGGGGAAAAAATGGGATCAGATTAAAGAACCAGAACATGCATGCTCCAAGTCTGACTCGCTTCCCACAAGAGAACTGCAGTGCTACTCACTTGCATGTTAGACCGCTGGCAAGCTTCACTACAGCTGAATTGATGGAGAAGATCCAGTCCAGAAGCCACATGACTAAGAAGACACTAGCCTAAAGCTTTGTTACACAAGTCTATGATGAACTAAAATAAGCGCTGGCAAAGGTCTTTTTAAAGCTAGATTAAGACTTTTGTGACCTGAGACCAGGTCCATGTGCTCTCCGCTGGCTCTTTAACTGTACACTAGCTGCTGTGTCCTTTCAGCACAGCAGCCCCAACAGAGCGACTGACACAAGAGAGCGGGAGGGAAGGACCACGATGGGAGTAAGGGTGAGAGAGAGAGAGTGAGAGAGAGAGAGAGAGATGAGACAAAAAGAGCCAGATAGTGCAAAAGGGAGACAGAGTAAGAGGAAAAAAGTGGAAAAAGAAGATTTGATCCATCCTTGAATGGTTTCTACTTGTGTGTTGGTAAGTGAGCAAGTAAGCACTTTCTTCTGAACACCTTACACTGTATAAAAGATGGACGTAGCCACCATGATGACACACTGGTTTCTGAAGTCCCGTGTAGAAGCTTCAAGACGAACGCTTTCACTGTCTCTGTGCTTTGAAACGAGTGAGTGGTGGATCTGATGGTGAAACCAAAAGCTCATTGGTTAAGCACTTGTCAATCATTAACCAAGTTGTTAGCCTCCTTTTTTGGCATTTAGAATAACCCAAATTTACAAAACTGACCTAATGTTTTATTCAGTAGGACGTGAAATGGGCAACTGAGTGTCGGGAAAGTGTTTCTAGATCTCCTGGCAGAGGAACATCTTCCCTCTGCTATCACTCTTTGCTAGAATGTCGGTTGAAGGCTTTTCCACACTGACTTCATTTTTCTTCAACCGGATGCTACTTCCATCTTTTACACTGTCTATGCTGAATATACATGCAGTGCATCATTGTTTCATGTGCAAAAAGTTTTCAAGGGTTGTAGCAAATTTTAATGACTGTGGAAACCATGCATCCTCCAGATTAAAGAACAAAGGGACCATTCAACCTGTGATCTGCACAGATTTCAAAAAAGCACCTGTGATGGTGTGGGGACATTAAGCTGGATAATAGGGCTGCCACAAACGATTATTTTGATAGTCGACTAGTCACCGATTATTTTTGCGATTAGTCGACTAATCAGATCATCATCCATTGGACGTAAAATGTACAGCTTATTGCACCAGCAGCATCTGCTCTTATATAACTATCATTAGCTTAAAGCTTTAAGTGTTTAAGGTCTGTGCTAACTAAAAATAAAGACAAGATGATAGTTTATTAAATTTTAATGAAATCTGCAGATTGTTTCGGTGAAGTTTAATCAACTCCCTGCTATCTAAAATATAACGGGACACCGGAGTAAATTTTACAGCATCTCACACTTCTGATAATCAGCTGTCTGCTTGACGTTTATTCAGCTGTGTAAGAACTATAACTTTAATCTCAGACAAACCGATTTACTCAGGAACAAATAAAATACTAAAAAAAGCCAAACAATAACATTTTAAGTTATCTAAGTGACTTATATATATTTAACCTGAGTAGCGAAAGACGGCAGTGGGTTTGAAAACGATCTGCCGGGAGTCCGGTGTTCTCACGGCTCTAGTGAGCCTTGCCCCCGCCTAGCTAACGAGCTAGTGGGTAACAGACGTCTCCGAAAACGTCGGAGCGCTTTTGAAAATATGTGGTGTCTTGATAAACTGAGCCGATATTTGAGGTTTACACAGCTACATTCTCGCCTGAAAATATGTTAAACGTTTATTTTGTGACCCAGAAGAAATAATAAGAGTAACATTAAAACTAACTAGCTGCCGCCATTGTTGGAAACTGAGCTGGGCCGCGCTATGAATTCTGGGACAGAGCTTCTTCTTCTTCTTCGGGGTTTAACGGCAGCTGGCATCCTTGTACATGCAGTGCTGCCATCTTCTGTTTCAGTCCGTTATTACACTCTTAAATCCTACTAATTCCTGCGTCTTTTGGGATCTTACAAAGCTTCAAACGACGCGTCGACTATTAAATTAGTCGTCGACGATTTTGATAGTCGACGTAATCGTGACTAGTCGACTAATCGTGGCAGCCCTACTGGATAATGAGTCCACTAGGGTCCTCCAAGTGATTCTGTCATCAGACAGTGAGGACAAGGGTTCGTGCCTGCCTGTTTTTTGTGACTGTGGAGACTCGACTATGGAAAATTTACATTGCAATGCACCAACTACACGTGCGTCCCAGCAGCGGACTTCAACGAACTATAACAGAAATGACTACTCGACCAACGGTACTCTAACTGTCCATAATCCATTATAATCAAAGCCTTACTATGTATACACGTGCAGAAGTAACATGTACATATGTGAAGGCACCATTAATGCTGAATGCAAGCTTTTTGCTACCATCTTCATGACAATTTCAGGAAAGGTTATTCCAGCATAACAATGTAAATTTTTCAACGTGTTGCTGGCAACCAATTCAAAATAATGAACACATGTATGGATTTT